AACTCTAAACCCTAAACCCTAACCTCAGGGCCGGTCAGTCTTCGGGTTTGTCGCAGGTTTGCGAGAGCGATTAGTTGGGAAGGGGGTCTCGGTCTCGCACTTCGGAGATCCTTGCTTGAGTATCGGAATATCGGAGCCTAGATCATAAGCTATCATATAAATATTGTGTATGTACATATATATATATATATATATATGTGTATATATATACAGATATATATATATATATGTATAGATATATCAGACCCTATGTACTTCTACTATAATATACCAAGGCCCTCTTCTGGCAATTAAGGCCTCCATAGAAGCCCCCATAGTCCTATAAAGACCACAACGTTTGAGCTTGGAATCCAAGCTCAACCTTGACCCTACTTTAGGGGTTTAGGGGTTTAGGGTTTAGGGGTTTAGGGTTTAGGGTTTAGCTTGTACCACGAGCCCTAAAGAGAAGCACGAAAAAGTAGACTCAGACATGGGGGGGTTAGGGCTTAGGGTTTAGGGTTTGGGGTTTAGGGTTTAGGGTTTAGGGTATAAAAAACCCTGAACCCTAAACCCTATATACTATTGGTTATACCAGGGAACCCTGAGGCATGCTATTGTAGCCCCTGTATTACCGGCGCAGGGCTGAAAACCTCAGGTTTAGGGTTTAGGGTTTCGGTTTTGTGTCAAAGGCCGTGCGTATTCCGTCCGGTGGGAGGGTTAAGGCTTTAGGGTGTAAGAACCAATTTAAGACTAGGGTGTAAGATGCACGGCCTTAGCGATTTGGGATCTACAGACCTTACGGGCCACTTGGGGCGTAGAGTTGTGACCCTTTTGCAGGTTGGCACTTCCGGCAAGGGCTCTAGGGAGTACAGTTTGAAGCATCGGAGTGTTAGCGGCATTTAGTGTGTATCGCTCGGCGGGACTGGAAGCCCTAAACCCTAAACCCTAAACCCTAAACCCTAAACCCTAAACCCTAAACCCTATTGAAAGGCTTCAGCCACACCAACACCCGAGACCCGCGAGAGAGCCCGAACCCGAAACCCATTAATCCCAAAGCCCCTCAAACCTCCTACTCTTTGCAATAACACAAACTAGAACAGAAAAAACAAACGCACAGCGGAAAAAAAAAAAAAGAATAGCAATGAAAAGTCATCTTACACTATAACAGAAATAT